CCCCCAGCCAGGGTCAACCCACCACATTGGTCTTGCTGCTTTTGTGTTTGATTTAGATAATCTTGTGCTAATATTTATTTTAATGTTTTTTTAAATGCCTTTAAAGTACAAAAAAAGTAACTGCATTGGCCTTTTTGGTTTTTAATTGCCTTATGGCTGGGATATCCTTTGCCCTTTTTAGCTTCATTTTCATTTGAAATGATTCCACTTTGACAAGTGAAAGTAAAAATGCCATTTGATCCAAATACTATGTGATCAATAGCAGCCTGCTATTAATTGCCAATGTCTAAAGCCCCTTTTTCTTTATAACGTTCTTTGATTAGATTAGTAAATAATAACTTCTTCAGGTTTTATACATGAGAAGTTTACATAGACTTGTTAATAGTTTAAAGAAATATAGGCAATAAATGCAAAACCTGGTAACATGGCTTAATATTCCTTGAACAGTTAAAAAGACTGCTGTGAGGTTTTAAAGGGAACTGTAACACACCAGATACTAGAGGCTACAGAAGCTGGTGCTTTAGGATAGTGCAACTGCCGATTTTTACCTGTGATTCTGTTAATGTTCTGTTATTCCATCATTTTGAACTCGAAAATCAAGGGACCTACATTTGAGCAATCCCCTTCTCTTAGCCCTACTGGGCAGCTGGCTTGTTCTGTTAAAGAGTATAGGAATTAAAATAAGTTTAAAACAAAACAGCAAGAAAAAACTTTGACCATAATCTCTGTAACATTTCAGTGGATAAGAGAAAGAAATGGTTCTGTTGTCTGCTTATAGAAGAAAATAGGAGGGTCAAGAGTGGGAGGAAAACTTAGGTAGTTGGTAAAAATATAAAGTGGAAAACTTCTATGGTAATGTTAGTTATCTTTGTAATATTGGTAGCAATTTTTTGCATTTTTCAATTTAATGTAAAAAACCCCATTGCTGAGATTGCGATCCGTATTTACTGTTAGGTTTACTTTCAAACTATAAAGTTTGAATGGTTTCATACGTGAATTCTGTGTATAAGCTGCTTTCATTTTCCCTCATAAAAGGTTTCAATATTAAAATCACTTTTTTTTTTTTTTTTTGGAAGTAAAATAGGCTTTAAAAGATATTGCCTCTTATCTTCACAAAGCTTTAGAAAGGTGGATATTGCTCTTTCTGCTTTAGGGACAGAAGCTTAGTGCAAAGTTAACGTTTTTGAGTCTGAGATAGTGCTAGGAATTGTCAAACTTCAGTTCCTTTTCTTGAAAAACATTAGCAGAATGGGCCCAAATTGTCCTTACTTAATGGGCGGGGGATATTTTTACCATGTAAAGTGGCACTGATCTTAAGGTTAAATTCCCATTCTACTGGTCCCTCCACAAACATGAGATTAAATGGTACCTATTCTCACACCTTTTTCTCGAGGTGAAATGGGCAAAAGTTCATCTTGCATCTCTATATGTGGGCCCTGGTAAACAGGGTTTAATCGCTGCTGCCTTTTAGGTCCTTGTTCCAAACCCAGCAGATCTTAGCAGGATCATTTGGTAGTACAGATGTTTCAGATCGAGCTGCGGGAAAACAGATATATTGCTGTCAAATCAGAAGGAATTAGTTAGCCTTATAGTGGCTGCGGAGAGACAAGCAGTAGCTCTAAAGGCAGGGTGATGCAGGCAGTTATCTACATCAGCAGGCTTTACGTGAAAGCAGGTAACTAATTTTTTTAATTTTTTTTAAATGTAAATTTATGCTGCATCTCATAGGGCCACAGCATTTTTAACCCAGCATTTACAGTTGGCTTTAGTATGTTACAGAACAATGGTGTAAGTCCCTAATCTTTACCTTGGATTTCATGTTAATAATACAGTAATTGCGCCTGTCCCCTGCCTTTTAATTGATGGCTATTTTTTTTTTTCTTGTGGTGCCATGGTGAGGGTCCAGAACGCAGAGTTTGCCTATAAATGAGGTGCAGAAGCCTTGGGCAGCTGCTCTGCCAAACCAGCCCCCCCTTCTGCAAAGCACGGAGGCACGCGTGGAGCAGCATTTAATCGTACAAACTCAACTGTAGGGCTTCAGGGCTGGATTTTCGGCAGTCGGGGAGATGTACCCTTACTTGTCCTCTGGGGTTCCAGGGGTTTTGTTTCAGAAAGTATTAATAACTCCATGAATTATTAAAGGAGGAAGAAACGTTCCTTTAAAACTCGATTTCCTAACAAATGGGCCTGCTGGAGATGCTTTAAAATATCTTAAAAGTATGTGTGAAAGGTGAACTTTTAAAAAGTGAGTTTGAACGTCTATAAATTACTGTGCATGTTATTTCAGAAAGGACAATTAACATATTACAATTATGTTGTTATATGTTATTATAAAGGACCATAATTCTGTAGAAAGAGGTATTCAAGTGTAGGTATAAAATAAATAGGCAAAATGGGGTGATCTTTAATAGCTAATGGCAATGCTGCCAGTGGAACAGTATGAGAGTGATTTACCTTTCTTTGTTGGGTTCAAACAAAACATGTTGGGTTAGATCCCTTCAAATTTTGGACATGTTACTTCTCTGCTGTAATGGTGGCTATAATGTTCACAGGCTGTTTTCACTAGGAGTTATGCCGGTATGACTGACTTACCATATACCTACTGAACATCTCAAAAGCTGCAGTGCTGCTTGGCTTTGTCCGCTTCTAGGCTTGAATTTGAACATGTCCTCTCTGTGACCTTCACAGTTATAGATTTTATATTTCCACATTTTGTCGTTTCATTGTTATAACGTTTGCCTCCAAAATATCAGCTGTTGTGATAGCTTTTCTTGAAAAGCGTCTTAAGGCGAGGTAGAAAAACAAGCAGACCTGACCAAGTCAGTGACATTTCTCTGTCTGTGACTGGAACATTGCATCAGGATTTGCTTTTGTGCTGTATTGCAAAGTTGATAGCTAAAATACAAATGCAGTCATTAAATGAAGAAAAATGTTAAGGATAATGGGATTATAGCAGGGAGTTCTCTACAGTATATGACTGGGGGAGGGAGTCATTTTATTAACTCTGTTTTAAGTTGGACCGCTGATGGTCTTCAGGCATGCTAAGAATGATGCAGATCATTAGGTTTGTAATGGTATTATTAATTGTTTCAAAAATAATCTAAATCTGTATCTATCAGCTACCAGCAGAAACTGTAGCTGTGCATTAGAGTTCAGTAAACAATTCAGCTGTGGGCACATTTTGAAATTAAACAACTTTGAGAATAGTTTCAGTAAAAGGCTTGGAAGGAGTACAAGTTCAGATGGAGAACAGCTGTGGTTCGCTGTATAGATGGGAGCCTGTTTTGTAGAGGAAATAAGACCACGCAGAAATAGGCTGTAGTTCTGGAGAGAGCCCTGTGCTGTGTAAGTGTGTGTGTGCGCTCCCAGTTGTGAGATGAAAACATCCCGATGCATACTTTTTTTTTTTTTTCAGTTTTCTGATAGCCCTTTTTTTGCCTTTATCTCTTATATTAGTTCAGCACTATGTTTATTATGATCTTTTTTCCTGTCATAATTTTCTTTGCCTGTTTTGTGGGTTAAAAATGGCTAAGCACGTGGTTGTCGAAGGATGCTCCTGCATCAGCGCTGGAGAGACTGTTAATAACCTGAAAGCTCCCAGTGTGGGCTGGTTCAGGGAAAAATCTTCCTGTGGGTTGTAATCACTTGCTGCTGTTGCGAGCTAAAGTTCAATTACATCAATTTCACTATTACACTCTTGTGTTAGGGCTGCTAAAGGAACTTTTCTTTAAGGAGGAGAAAGAAGAAGAACCTGCCAAGCGACCTCTGCACGCTACCACATCTTGCCTATGCTCTGTGCCTTTCACCTCCCTACTATTCAGTCTTGATTATCAATATTTAGAGGGAGAATTTTTTTTTTAAACTTGTTTAATTGAAGTGCCAGCCAAGTTCCACTTGCTCAAAAAGGTCTTTCAAGTTTGTGACGCGAGTTTGTATTTATAGCTTTAACAAAGCCATGTTACTTGTTTTGTTCTCATCTAGGTGCTTGAACTGGGATTTAATTTCTCATCCTATGGATCACTGAATGAGTAACAGATGGCCTTGCCTCGTCTTACAGGCGCTCTACGCTCCTTTTCAAATGTCACTAAACATGAGGATTACAGTGAAGAAGTAGCTGACTTAACGGTAAAGATTTTTTTCTTTTCCAAAGCAGAATTGTAAAGTAATAGTGTGTATAGAGAAAAAATTGTTTGCTTTCTTAATTGGCATTGCTATTTTATAAGAGTAGGTGAGCAAAACTGGGCAGAGTGTGTGCAGTTTCCTGTGCATTCCTCCATAGCGTCCTCACTCAAAGTCAAATTTGCTGTAGCTTTGTGACTTATGCTGGGCCCTTGCAATCGTGACGTGCTGTATGGATAGGATCGCTTGGCTGCGTTAATCCAGCTCTGTTATTTCATGTTGGAGAAAGTTATTTAAGTTGGGCTGGGCTGAGGTGGGGAGCCAAACATTTCTCTTTGAATATTAAGTTTACTTTGAACTCTTGTTGGGGAATGTTTAGAATAAATTTAGTGATGCTGAATTTAGGTACTTTTTTTTCCTCCTCTTTTTTTCCAAGAAATAATGTATTAAAGCAATAAATGCATTGTGGGAACCTGTAATGTGAAAGGATTTTGGAATCCTGAGAGCTGTAAATCTCTTGAAGGTGCAAGAGTTTGGTTTTATGGAGAATTCCCCCTTAGAAAGAGTCACAGAGAGAGAGTCTGTCTGTGTGTGTGTGTGTATTCTCCTCCTCCTCCTCCTCCTCCTCTTACACTCAGGAAAGAATGTACAGAACAAGTAATAGGGAAACTGCTTGCAATCATTACTACATACTGAGTGAGTGCAATTGGAAAGAGGTTTTTTATCTGGTGATTAATTTTAAAGGAACCTCCATATACTATTTTGAAATAAATTTTAAAACAAAAATTTTGCATTTTCAGACTAAAAGATCAAAACTACATGAACAGTTACTTCAGTCTGATCTTACTTGGAAGAAGATAATAAAGTTTGTTGATGACAATTTGGACAAAAAAGAACACCAAATTGTAAATGGTGATTTAAAAACTATATTACAAGCTGCAAAACAAATAGGTACGTTTTCATTCTCTAGTAGTCTAATAATATACTGGTTTGTTGTTTTGTTTTGTGGGTTTTTTTCAAGCTGCTTTCTGCCTGCATACTTTGCGTACTGGTACAACTGGAGTAAAATGTTAGGCTAAATTAGGGCTGACAAATATATAATGACTATAAAGTTTGCAATATAAAAAGTAAGACTATGTGTAGTATAGCAAGTAGGAAAAATACCTGACAATGGAAACAAAAGGTTATAAGCAAAATAAGTGCTTGCCATTCTTAGCTGCAAATGTTACCTATGAAAATAATTTAGCAGATTTGTGTTTTCTGTATTAATGACAGAAATGTATATTAGCTGTGTGACTTTTTTTTAAAATTTCCAGTCTTTGCCAAAGATGGCTACAACCCCCTTTTTTTTTCTGGTTTTTTTTTTTTTTTTTCCCCAAAAACTTTAACTTTTTACCCCCAATGTGGTGGGTAGGTAGAGCAAATTGAAAGACTTGAAAGTAATAGTGGTAAGTTTTTGTTTGATGGACTGGAGAGGACCAAACAAATGAAAACAAATGCATGATTATTTAGTTAGAGCAAGTTAGAAAGAAACCATCATATTTATATTATTTTATTATACAAGTTAGAAAGAAACCAACTAGTGCTGAAAGGGAGGCTGCATCACCTTTTTCCTTTGAGATATCCTTACATATATATTGTATATGTGTGTTCACTTTGTCACCTATCTTCCATGTGTAGGTATCTAATTATCCTGTAAATATCACCTCCAGTCCTCTCCATGAACTTTTCATCTTTTCAAAGTGCACCATAGGGAAATTCAAAAGACATACTGAATTTTTAGGCACCTCCATTTATATGCTGTGTTTCTAGTTACTCAGCCTTGTTCCATCTGTTTATGCAGGATTTCTTTTGCTCTTTCCTGTTACACTGTGGGGAAAAAACCCCTTGCTTTTGCTGGGGTTAAACCTAACCTACATTGAATCAAGTCATAAGTAACAATGTCAAAGTAATTAAGAATCTTCTCACTGATTTCAGTAAGTTTTTTTAACAGGCAGAAAACGGGGACATAGTAAAGCAAATACATAGGCCCATAACTGAATAGCAGAGGTATACAGAGGCAGATGCAAGACAGTTTTCATTACTGAAAAGAGAATAACCACATTTACCATGCCAGAAGTGCCTCTTTGGGGTTTTAAAAAATTAATAATATTGTTCCTTTAAAAATAAATGGTTTGTTTTAATAGTTCTTTTGAATTAGCCATGCTGGAGGTTAATCACCAGTGTTACCACTTAGATTGTACTGTTCTCTTCTGGAGCTATGTTGGTCACTCCTGATATAACTAAAGAATTGACCAGATAAAGACGTCTTGATAATAGCAGCTTGTAAATCTCAACAGTAAGCTTTGAAGATGCTTTAACAATTATGCAGTCTTGTAAGGAATGTTAATTTTACTAAAAATGTTGGAGTAACCTACCCATCTTTTTAGAACACAATTTTTAAACTTTTAAAAAAATCTGCATGTTTTATTTATAGAAAACAAAAAACCCAGTATGCTGACTGTTTCTGTTTATTTTATGCTTGATGACTTAAAATCTTGTTTAGAAGTGACATTTTGGTTCATCATATGGTGGTTTTGCTTATGTTTTCCTTGAGTAACTTTGCAGATATTTTTGTAAGAGGTAAATTCATGTTTTTCTCTAATAATATATTTTTTATTTGCATAATATGCAATGATATTTTGTAGATATAACTCTAAAGTCATGCATTTATTTGCTTTAATTTCTTTGGGCAATTTTTCTAACAAACACACATTCTGTAGTAATTCTACTGGGAATAGAATACTACATACTTGTATGTAGTAATTCCCAGCTGAATTCTGTACATTTAGTCTGTTATGAATATTCAAATTAGGCAGTGAATAAATATTGATACAAAGTGGAAATTTGTTACCTTTAAAAAGCTCATAAATATACTATTGTGAGTTTAAGACCTCAGGCACGTTTTTCCTCTTACTTGGAAAAATAGGAAAGCATTGGTAATCCTTAATATGAATTTCTAGTAAGTAGAAGGATGATAATAATAAAGCATCTGTCTTCATCATATACTTTTTATAATTCAGTATCTTGCAACAATTGCTACTTGTTGTTACGGTCTTCGTTTCATACCTCTGTTGATGAGACTTAGAGCAAGAAGTTGAATACAGTTATGTTATAGGCAATGAAAGAGAATTAGTTTGAAGTGTATAAAGTTACATTTGTTTTTTGGTTTTGTTAACAGTTGGAGCTGAAAATGGACAAGAAGCAGTTGAAAGCGGAGCTGTTTTTCTCTTTAAGACATTTCACAGGAAAGAATGTGTTGGCCATGATGAGACGAAGGCGATCAAGCAGATGTTTGGGCCATTTCCATCATCATCTGCTACTGCAGCTTGTAATGCCACATGTCGGATTGCTTCTCACTTCACTGAAGAACAACTTACAGCCCTCATACAGATGGCTGAAGAGCAAAATGGTGATAACAGAGTGTTCTTTGGTAAAAATATAGTGTTTTCATTTGACATGCATGATTTGGATCACTCTGAGGAGCTGCCTGTGAACGGTGAGGCTGACGCACAGAAAATTATAAGCTTAGATTATAACAAATTTCTGAATAACCAGCTGAATCACTTACAGAATTACTGTGATGAGAAATCTGATCTCAAGTCTTTGGAAAAAGTAGATGATTCTTTTTTATGGTGTGAAGTTGGAAAGTATCTGAATGAATCTCAAGGGGGTACCCCTGGAGGGCCAACAACAGAAGACCTCTGCTGTACTTTGTACGAGATGCTTGCTTCTGCCAAAAGTGGTGATGAACTTCAAAATGAGGTACAGTAGCGTACTAACCATGCTGTGTGTATTTGAATGCCGCACAACTATCAAATTATTTCATATTGGATTATGCCAGCATACTTTATCCAAGTATTGTCTATGTTTGGGTTTTTTTGTCTGGAGAAAAATTACATGGCAACATCTTAATTTATGAGACAGAAGATGGATGCAGCATGTATTTTATGTATATGGTCTCCTTTCTGCCATAACAGACAGGCTATTAATTTTTTTGGCCGTTTGCTCAGCTTCTCCAAACTTTCTTTTTAAGCAACAGCCAATTTAAGCTACCATGTAACAATGCAAGAACTTGCGAAGCCAAAGTGAAGTTAACTTTCTCAGGCAGGTTCCATCTCCGGTTTCAGAGCCTTCCTGTTCCTGGAAGGAAAACTGGAGAACTGTGTGGGTGGTACTACTTTAAAACTTTGTCATATCACTTCTATTTCCTTCAGTAAGGAAAGGGGGAGGGTTTATCACAAGAAGGGCACAGAAAGCTTGAGGTAGAGGGAACAGTTGTGGAGAGGCTGGAGTTGAAGGATAAGCATAGTGGTAGAAAGGGGAAGAGCAGCATGATTAAAGACTGGCGAAGAGGCTTTCAGGGCATGTGCAGGAGAGTTGATTGGATTAACCTAGGCAGGAGAGAACTGGTTTTGAATGGAGTTGGGAAAGAATTCCTGCAATTTGCTAATTGCTTCTTCCTGTGCCCTTTTCTGTTATGTGTACTTTATTTTTCCTAACTCACCCTGCTTTCCTCCCCTGAAAACATACAGTACTTAAATTCTCAAACTAACTTTTCAGAAAAACTTTAAATATTGAAGATTTCCTACAGAAATACAATTGATGGTAGGAATAGACAATCCTGTGAAAGACAGTATAATGAAAATTTGCTGCACATTTGCCATAACAGTTGTAGATTTTATTATTCTTAACAAAAACATTAAGTGACAGAGAAGAGGACCCAAATGTTTCATTTTAAATTTAGATAACTTATTTATTGATGCCTATCGCATAATGATACAGTTGCTGAAGTAATATTCTTGTTTTGTTTGGTAGTGGGTAGACCACATTTTGGCTGTCCTTTTGAGCTATTTTCTGTATATGAATTTTTTTTTTATAAACTTCTTCTAATTTGAGAACCTAAATATGCATATAAAGGGAAGCTGACCTGATTTCTGCTGCGTTAAAATATATTTGAAAAATAACACTTTTATGCCTGTCTGCAAACAGTTTCATATTTTGAGTGGTTGTACTGAGGGAAGACACATGAAAATAGAAGACAGAACAAGTCTTTGAGAAGGAGATTGGATAAGAAACTTGCATGTCAAATGAGACATAAAAAAGAGCACCTTCATTTCCCACAGGGACCTGAACTTATTAATTGTAGAGAGAGAAAGATTTCAATTTTTTTTTTCTACATTAGCAAAAGACTTTTCAGATATAGTCACAGAGTATGCAGAAATAATTTCATACTTCTGTGTAATGCCTACTTAATGCCTGTTTAATTTGTAAAATGTTAAAGGAAATGCTTGAAGCTTTTCACTTGAAGCAAGAAGAAATAACTTTATTTTTATTTTGTAACTTTATGATTATAATGGATTGCTAAATCAATTGGCAGAAAGTGCAAGCTGTCAGTTTATATGTAGATCACAGATAAATACTTCCTTTCCTTTGGTTTTTGGAACAAAGACTTTCTGGCAAAATTTCTGTTTTGATGTCCTTACAGAAGTTTTAATTTGATAAAAAAAAAATTGTTTACTCTGCCAAGGCACACAAACCTTTCTGAAGATTATTTAGCAAGAGTAAATCCTTTTCTTTTTGTTGCTAGAGAGAAAAAAGATTCTTTCCCTTGAGTATCTGAAACGTATCTTATTTTGGATTTTTAAGAACTCTTAGTAATAAAAAAAAAATAAAAATTCTCCCCATTCTCCTTATTTCAGCCCCTGTGTTGCCTTGCCTTGCAACAATCACATTAATTTATTGTTCATTGCATAATGTGGGGGCCGGGGAGGGGGAGGTAAGACTAATTTGAACCTGATCACCTTTTGTTAAAAGCTAGCTGGTATTTGTTTTGTGCTGTCTGTAAAAGTAATTCATGACTTGAAAATTTCTCCTGGGCTTTGGATTTTGCCATCGCTTAGGGATTTTTTTTTTATTTTTTTTTTGGCTGGTGGCATCATTAAGAGTAGATGATGCTTTTAAACCCCAAGATAACCCCGTTTCTAGAACTAGGTCATAGATTTGCTGTATGAGATGACCTAACAAGTATGTGATTGATCATGTATACTGAAAATCTTACAGTATACAGTTGGGGTGATGCATCCATGCTAAACTCTCTTTATTCTACAAAGTTCTTTTTTTTTTCTTTTTTTTTCTTTCTAAACCAAGAAAAAAAGGACTATTGATATGAAAGAATCATTCTTTGTAAATAAAATCCAGATCTGTAAAATACATTTTCATATTTTAAAACAGTGGCTATGTCTGTTCTTCTGTTTAGGAAGATACCACCACCAATTTATTATCAAACAAGAAAAGATCATGCTGGTGGTGAGGATATTGGCGAGTGGACTTCTCTAAAACATTTTCATTTGATCCTTAAGCAAAATGTATTAAATTCCAGATCACATTAAGAACATGAGCATTTTTAGATCATTTCAGGGTTGATATTCTGAGGTTTTTTGTAGCGTATGTATAGGCATACACATGTATCCTATCTAGGTTTTTATCTGCTTAATGAACTCTACAAGGAATTGAAATGAGCTCCTTTCTCCAGCACTGTATAGCTTGTGTTTAAAGTAGTTGACGAGGTAGAAGAAATACTTTATTCTTTGTTTTCACTATTTAGGAACATTCCACACTTCCTTTGGGACAGTTTGTTTATCTGGCACATCACTGGTGACTCTTAATTAAAGGAAGATTGATTCTTATGCTTGGAGTGATATGGGAGTTAGAACTTATTTTCTAAGTGTTTAGGACACGTGCTTTTCATTGGGGACATAAAATCTAGTAAAGCAAAATGACAGCTGCTGGAGCATACTTTTCACTGTATGTCAGATTTTGTTGATGAGTATGAAATGGTAATGATGCAGTAACAAGACCGTTATTTTAAAAAAGGAATAAAAAGCTGATGACAAACTATAAAGTTTTGCCCAATAACCATTGTACTTTTTAATTATTATTTTTTATTAAAACTTAGTATGCAGTGCATTCCTCCATTGGAGCACTCAGTTTCTAGTATATGACTGGAATATGACTAGTTTCTAGTATATGATTACTCTTCTAGAATGAAGACTTTTGAGACATCTGAGAGCATTTTAGCAACTTTGCCACCTAACCTTTCCCAGGATAACAAGGAAGAAGTTGGAGGAGTTTAGTCCCTCTTTGGTTACACCGTGCTGTTCTTTCTTCTGTGAACTCTTCTCATAGTTTATCTACAAAATTTTTCTGAGTTTTATTTTGGAGATACCTATCTCTATTTTTACACTAATGCAGAGGTGCATTATGCCTTTATCATAACAAAACAGGAAGAAATTTCCTATAGAGGTGAAATAACTAGAGGGAAAGAAAGGAAATGCAATCAGAATTGTGTTAATATCTAGTTTATAGTGCATAGATTGTGAAAAATCATGCAATTTATTCATCTCAGGACAAGGAAACAACTTTGCCCAAATGAAATTATGAAACATTAATGTCATTCAGCATATTAGATTAGATGGTGTTTCCCAGACAAAATCATGTTAAATGCTGTATAAATGACGCAGAACATTCAGGCGATGAAAACTACTGTAAGAGACCGTGGAGTTTGAAGCTGCTGAATCCTTCCTTCAAGGGTCAAAAACATTCCATTCAAATCAAAATAGACCTGAAATCAGAAAAGTGCAGGTTGTGGAATATAGCTTTTATATGATGGAATCATAGAATCATAGACTGGTTTGGGTTGAAAGGGACCTCAAAGACCATCTAGTTCCAACCCCCCTGCCATGGGCAGGGACACCCTCCACTAGACCAGGTTGCCCAAAGCCTCATCCAACCTGGCCTTGAACACTTCCAGGGAGGGGGCCTCCACAACCTCTCTGGGCAACCTGTTGCAGTACTTCACCACTCTAACAGTATAGAAAAAAAAGAAAAAAAGAAAAAAAAAAGTGAAGAGTTGGGCAGAACCTCTTCCTGTATGTATTCCTTAATAGATCCATCCGGTTACATACTCATCATTAGAGCCAGAAGGTTACAGTTTTATTACTGAAATTCAGTTCTTTTCAGAGTGCTTATTTCAGAATGGAAGTTAATAGATTATTTTGTTGTTTCATTTTTTCAGTGTGGTGTTTGTGTGTCTCTGAATGCTTGATGTAGCAACAGGCTTTTAGACAATTTTCCCCAGGTTCTGCTCCGTGGAGCTGTTGTCTCTCAGGCTTCTGCCTATAACTTTTCTTCAGCTGCGTTTGTCACTGGTGGCAATAGAATGTGAGTTTTTTCCCACTTGAGCACATCTACGTTGTTTCTGTTGCCCTGTCATAATCCCACCACAAATGTCTGCCAATGTGCTTTGTTGGTCAAACCTGTAAATGCTCTTTGGATCAAGAACAAGAGGAATTTAACTAATTTGTCAATTCAACCAACTGGCAGGAAGCTCCTCTGTGTCTGCCACCAGCCTTTCTGCAAAAGAAATACAGGAGAGTAAAGGAAAGCAAAATCTGTTTAAACTCTCACAGAATCTGCAAGGGACCTGTTCTGTCAGTGATACAATATCTTAAACTAAGGAAGACTCATTAATGAAAGAAAGTGGGAAAGTTTGTCCCAACTTCTCCCTTCAAGACTGCTCCAGAATCTTGTTGCCCGGGTGGTTAGAATGAACCCTTATTACCTGCTTTCTAGCTTTGTTCAGGGCTGGTTTTATGATCGCTTTTCCTGTGCTACAGTTATCCTCTTTTTAAACCAGTTTAAAAAAATGAGCATCAAAAAACTGCACTTGTAACTTTTTTCTGGGCAATACTATGCCTTTTCAA